GTATCATATTAATTAATTTAACTAATATAATTGATTTATTTAAATTAATTAATTAGACCTTATATTAAGGATTAAAAAAGTAGCAAGTAGTGTCATGCGCAAAATAACATCTCGACTTATATGAAGTACGACGGAGTACATTTCATGCTTATCAGAAAGATGAGGATGGCATCCTAACCACCATGCTGATTTAATATGGAAGAGATTCAGTTTATATATTTTTTATTTCGAATAATTATTTATGTTAATATTACAAAATTCAAAATAAAATAATTTTATAATTAACACTACTTTTTATAAAAAAATAAATTTATCATTAGCAAGTTGTAAATTTAAAATTTCAAATCTGAACTATTTAAATAGAATTTTAGATGGTCTAAATTTCATTACAGTTATAAGCATCCCGTGCTTATCATTGATAAACATTGAATAAGGACCCGGTTGGAACTCGTTAACGTATGAAAGTATGAAACACAAGATAGGGACACAACATGATTATGAAAATTGGTGGTGGGTAACATTCTCAATACAACAAATGATAACAAACATCGTAATTATCAACTGTCAGATCAGCGAGCTAACCAAAGTACTTCAACTATGTTCCTCTCAAATTCCCCTCAAGTGTGCTTTTGGGCTATGAAAAAGAAAACTAAAAACTAAGCCAAGCGTGAAAACAAAATAAAGAATTTTAACAACAAAGGATGGATCTCCTATTTCCAGTTCTATCACTATTATAGGTACTTCTGACATAACTGTTGTCTTAGCATTTATGAATGAGCATGTGGTGCAAGCCAATCAATTAGGTATTAACTTCCCTAGAAACATAAACGTATTTTATTTGACAATCAAGTTGAATAACTAAGTGGAGGTGGCAACATAGATCAGTTCGGTTAGCTGCTCTGAATAGGCTCGAGCTTGAAAAACCCACTTACTTTATCTTAAGTATCCTTAACGTTGAAACCTGATCTTCAAACCCTCAATTCTAGGACCAGCCCCTGGGTTTGTAGTCATTTTAAAAATGTTCAATATATTTTCACTCATTTCCTTATAGATTTAAATAAAATAATAGATCTCATAAAATTTTTAATTCAAATCAGAATGTTAATAATTAAACAAATTATTGTTCAAATATATTCAAAACTAAACCAAAGTAAGCCCTTGTCCACAGCCCTGACTCTAATAAACTTGTGTTACACAAGCCTTAAATGGATATATTTGAAACAAAAAGGAGTTATATGCAAGTGGGAATAAGCTGTAAGGTGTTATCTGCAAAATGAAAGGAGGTTGTCCTGTCCATTTGAAGATGGAACACGCTCAAACTTTGGCCCACTTCAAGTTACAAACTACACCTACTTTTAATTACAATTCACGAGCAAGACAAGTCATTCTACTCCATAACCCACAACACAAAACTTTTCAATCCTACCAACCGGGATGGATCCAGCAAAATAGACTAATTCCTCGTAACATGATGAATTAAATATCAAATTCTCACTTAAAAAGATGTCTACATTTAGTATTTAACAATTCCTTAAATAAAATTATTTTTAATAAGAAGATCCCTATGCCTAGCAAAAAAATTTTTCAATCCTTGTCTGGCTTTAATTTTAAAGTAATTGTTAGGTAACATGATAAAGATTTTTGCAATCTAATGAAATCAACGTATAAATTCAACTGTATTACATCTTATTTACTAAAATGTCATCAGTCACACTTTTTATACTGTCCCCACAATGACCGATAAAGAATTCTCTATTTTCACCATACATATATTACCTCTAGTTCTTAATATAAAAGCTAATTGACTAATTTGAATACAAATAGGCGTTGTCTTTCATAAATTACTATTGCTAATTATGTGTATTAACTAAAACTATCATTTGATAAAACTTTTAATATGTGCAACTACTATAAAAACTAGCTTGAGAAAAATGAATAAATATAATAGATAAAGTGAATTAGGGTCTTATATTTAGAACCAAATTGAATATTAAACCAGTTCTTATATTAACTACCGGAAGTAGTATATTTCAACTAAATATTGCTGGTCTTGTGTGTTACGTTGAGTTGAGTATTAGAAGCCGTATTGTTTATGATTTGAGAACTTCTACATGCCTAATTCAAATCAGTCAAGTGCCACTCGCAATTTATTCTTCCGATCAACATTGATATTATGTCAACAAAAAGTGTTTAGATAGAAATCAAATCATAGTTTTAAAAATAATTTTACAGTATATAAGCACGTAAATATGTGAAAAGAATTTTATCTCGATTTTCATGAAAATATTTTTTAGAAATGCTTTAGGTTAGCCAAACACCCAAAACATAATTAGCTGGAAAACATAAATAGCATACAGGATAAATTGTTAACAATATGATTAACAATTAATCATGGTATAATCAATTTTCTTTAAACACCTAAGCGTCCAAAAAACGCTATATAAAAATTAAATTCATAATAAACATATGAATTAGGGAAATAGTTTATACTTCTTCAGTAAGGAAAAAGTAAACACACTTTTTTTTCCACTTACAACCCGTTTGGTTGTTGAAAAGGACATGAATGGAATGAAGTAATAGAAAATGAAACGGACTAATAAAATGGCAATGATCATATAGACAATTTAATATTTTTAGGATAATAAATTAATAAAGAGATGGGAATAAGGATTGACATGTATATAAGATCATGAATATAAAATCCCAATTTTTAAGAAATGATGATTATTATGGAAGACTATTTCCCATAGTTGTGATCAACCGCATATGATTATATTGGAATAAAACCATGACAAATATGTGATTTTCATTGAAATTTTAGGGAGTTGAATCTAGAAGTCAAACAAGAGAAGAAAAATACAATCTTCCCTTCAAACAAAGAAAATTTTACTCCTTTTTCGTCCTTTTTTGTGCCCAAATCTAAAAATTCATAATTACTATGCTTAAGAATAAAATAAATTCTATGCTAAGATTAATCTATTTTAATTTCTTCTCTCCTGATTCTACAAACTCTCACTTTTTATGTGTGTGTCTAAAAATAAAGGAGTAATCTACATAATCTAATCTTAGGTCATATTCAAATAAGATCAAACATCTTTTTCTCTATGGGTTTCATATAAAATATATAAAGTTACACTTTTGTTAACACACCCAACACCAACTTGTGTACTTGTCTTTCACGCATCACATATGGCACTCATACCATTCTAACACTAATAACAAATCTTTTTTTTTTTTGGTTAGCATTGGAATGATTTTGGACTTATATGACCAAAATTTTATTAAATATTTTATTATGTTTATATAAAAAAGACAAAACAAAGAATTTTTTTTTACTTATGAATTATTTAATTGTGATTAAAATAAGAAAATATCAAAACTAGGTGATCTAAGTCAAATTTAAATCAAGTGCGTTAAAGGCAAATTAATCATGAACTAATGAAAGTACTTGTTTAAAACTGACGAGTTTAAATGTAATTGAGTAATTATATATATTAATTTAATAATATAAAATATTATATAACAATAAAAAGTTCTTACTTCCTAACCCATTTTATTAATTTTGATATCGGTTTTGATATGACTACGGTATGTCAAAATCTTTTTGAAATATTTCATCCCATTCCATTGTGATCTAATTTTGAAAAGATTACTAAACAGTATTTGAATGGTTGAAAAGTTTGTGCAGGCCGTAGGCCATGAGAAAAATAAAAAAAAATGATTTAATTTTAGATACTCCAATATTAAATGGTACAAAATACAAATAATATTGTGGAGTGTGGACCACTTCAGATTCTTTTTTGCACCTAATTTAAAAATATTATATGAAGGTGGCCATTAACGTAAAATTTAAGTTTATTACATCTTTAGCAGAAAATTCACTTCTACCGCCTCATCTTTTAGACTTGGAATTGGCCCATGTTGGGTTAACGTATAAGCAGTCTATCAAAGCACTTTATTCTAAGTATTTGCTAGGTTTAGTTATCATTTTGATTTTTAATTATTTTAATTTAATTTTTATTTTATTCTCTGAATTTTTAGTTGACACCATTATCATTTTTCATTTTATTTTTTAAATGATTCTTCCTTTTTTAAGTATTTTAGATTTTTTTAAAATTAATGTAACAGGAAAAATATGCATAACGCATCTTGAAAAATAAGAGATTTGTTAAGGTCAAATAAATAATTTTTTGGCCAAAAATATATAAGGTATTGTAAGAAAATGTGTAGAATTATTTAAATATTTCAATCCAATTATCACTTAAAATTTGATCAAGCATATAATTATAGAAGTTGGCCTCTAAAGTAAATAAGATGGACATAGCAACAAAAGACACTTATTGATTGCAAACAAATTGCAAATAGTAAAATTTACTTAGTTATACTTTGAAACTGATATTACTAAATACTAATTCTTACTTTCTAGTTTAGTTGATGTTATTACAAAACTAAACACTTTTTCTTGGGTATCCTACCAATTTTCTTTTTTGAAAATGAGTATTACGATTTGTAAATAATGCAATTTGTCTTGCATTTAATATTTAAGATTGATACTAATATTGATGATTAAAATCATTTTATGCTTTTGGTAAGTACTATATAGATTTGTTTTTTAAAAAACTCGTTATTTTGATATATGACAGAGATTATGATTGACTTTTAATTGATTATAATTGATAAGAATTGACTATCTATTTGCTCATATATTTATTTTGTAGTTATCGTCTAATCATTAGCCATTATATTTGGTAGTATATAGTTGTCCTAATATTTGCAACAAAATTATATTTGAAACACACAGCTTTATTGAGGAAAAATGCATATACTTGAAAACAAAATAGATATAAAAGCCTCAAGATTTAGTAAAAGGAAGCATTAAAAAGCTAAAGCAGAGAGGCCTCTCACTGCATATAAATCCAAAACAAGCCACTTCGTTTGGACTCTGTCTCAGCAAACCTTTTCCTCTGTTTCATTATAAACCCATTCATATTTCAGATCATATCATCTCAGTAACAATTTCCAGTGTTTATTTTATTCTCAATCTTCCAATGCAAGAAGAAGAAGGGTGGCGTTTCACGCGCTTGAAGCTGCGCACGGTGGTTTTCATGGCGGTGCTCTCTTTGTTTTCGGTGGCCACAAAAGAGAGCCTCTCTCTGTCTCTGAACACCCAAGGTATTGCACTTTAACTGAACCGATTCTGAACCAGATTGAGTCATATCGATTAAGCCAAGTTTAGCCGGGGTTTGTTTCTTCATGGGTTTTGATTTTGGGTTTGATTTGATTGGCGAAAACAAATGTGCAGGTTTGGCTCTGCTTAGGTTCAGAGACAGAGTCGTAAGTGACCCATTTGGAGCTTTATCGAATTGGAGTGCTAAAGATGGATTCATTGATCCATGTTCGTGGTTCGGAGTGGAGTGTTCAGAGGGAAAAATCGTTATATTGTGAGTAATACAATTATATCATCTATTTGTCTTTTGAAGAATGGAAGTTCTTCTTCTGGGTTATGCTCTGTTTTCTCTGCTCTGTCTGTGCCCTTCTCACCTTCTAATCACAACTCACAAATAATCTAATCACTAATTTTTAGAAATTAATAGAATTAATTAGTTTAATTACTCATAAAAAAATGCGTTAGTTTTCATAAAATATTCTTTTACTCTAATTTTTAGAATAATGGGAGGGTGAAAAAATATTTATAAATTTAAAATATAAAGTCAACTAAATTTTTATAGTTAGGATTAAAAAAAATTTCTCCTAATTTTTATATTTAGGACGGTTAAGGGGTACCAATCCGGTCCTAAATGTAAGTTATTTATAGGGGTGAGTTTTGATACTAAATATAAATCATTTGTAGTATATTTAATTTTTGTATTTCAATTTTATCTTTAATTAATTATCATTGGAGAAAAAAAGAAAATAGAGATATGAGAATGATTTATAAATACTACCTCCGGTCCTAATTATAAGAGCCAGTTGACTAATTTGAGGAGATTAAGGAAGTAAGTTGAGTTAGTTATTTGTCCTAAATAGATGTTGTCTTTCCAAAAATATCATTGCTAATCAAGTGTATTGATTAGAACTATAATTATTAGAAGGACTATCTTGGAAAAAATTGAGTAAATATAGAGATAAAGTGGATTGGGGTCTTATATTTAGAACTAAAATAAAAGTCAAACAGGGTCTTATATTAATGACCAGAGGTAGTATAAAGAGAGAACTTTAATAAGGATAAAATTAAAAAAATTTGGCAATTTAATATATTTATTGGTATGTAAGAATAAGTTATAAGATATTTATAGCAAGGAATAGAGCGGTATAATTTTAAATTCAATTATAGCTGAAACAAAATTGAGAGGTCGCTTACAAAGGAAATAAACTTAAAAGTTAGCATGAATTATATCAAGAAGTTTTGAAATTTCCCATGTTTTGAAAACTGTATTCAATCTTCTTTAGGGGATAGATTTTTGAGTTAGCTTCCAATTTCTTTGTAGTGTAAATATGGACCCGGATTTGGTGCTGTGATTGCCTTATGTGAATTAAATATGGCTATTGGTGGATGTATAATGCTATTTTTTTCAAAAAAAATAAAATTAACTAGTTTTAGCTATTAAAAAAAACCTCAGGGGAAGTTATATGTATAAATATAAGAGTTTAAGGGCGTTGATTGTAAAATTTTAAAGACTATAGACGTTATATGTGCGCGGATGAGAATTCAGAGATCTTATGTATAATTTAACCTTGGTTTTACATAAGTTGATAATGATAATTATAAACTTAGTATTATTTTATATTATACTTCATTTGTGATAAAATTATTAAATTTTAATTTAAAATTAATAAAATCTAAATCATCTGAATTAAATTTAGACAATGGAAATAAATGCGCAGCATTAAACACATCTAAAATATGTTCAGATTGTTTGTAACAAAAAGTGGGAACATGCACATGAAAAACCACAACTAATACGTTGCCTAGAAAATGAGACATTTCATTTGTACCCCTCGTTTCTCTCAAAAGAAGCTACTCCCTCACTTTTATTATAACGATTTGTAAATTACTATCTTTAATACTTAATATAAAAACTAATTTAGTTTATATTAAAGACTGCGAGTATTATTTTATATAAATAAAAAAAATAGTTAAATAAATATTAGTCCTAATAGAAGGGTTTTTGACTGTTTAATCATGAGGTCTCGAGTTCAAATTCATGTGAATATAAAAATGTTTTAGTAACAGCTCTCCCAGTTGGAAGTGTCGAACAATTTAAGAACTTTCAAAAATAATCTTTGTTTAAGTTTTTTTCTTAAAATAAGAATTCTATTCAGCCATGTTTTGACTAGAAAAAAATGGGAAGTTTATCCGCAATCCTCATTATACGTTTATTCCAATCCAACATAATTGGCATATACATGAATTGTGGGTGCCTGGGTGGGTATTAAATAAATAAAGAGTTTTTTAATATAAATGTTTTACCAAATTATATAAAGAGCCTTGTAGTGAAAATTATAAAAGTAAGTTTGCAAACATGAGTTCTGGCAAGGCCGGCCATGGCCAAGTTAAAATTGACTTCAGTCAATAGTTGCTTGATCAACATAATAATTAATAACTGTAATAATGCTGCTAGTTGCATGGATTATTTAAGAGATATATAATATATAACAAACAAGCAAATTGGAGCCAAACTGTGCCATTCATTAGAGGACCACATAAATTGTGGGACGCACACATGGCAAAAAGTCAAGTGTGCGTTTGTACTTTGGTACCTAACTTAAACAGTATTGAACCATTTTGTATTAATATCACCACTCTTCGGTGTTTGGTAGAGGCTGCATCAATAAGACTTGGAAAAAGAGAGAGGATTGAAGATGAGAAGAAAACTTATGAGCTTAAAATTCAGAGTGACGAGGAGAAATTGAACTTAACACCAATATAACTTTATTTTAAAAAAAATTATATATAAATCGAATATACTACCTACTATCTTCAATATAAGAATTAGTTGGGGATTGGATATGGCCTCAAATACAAAACCTTGATCCATTACTTTTTTTTCCCTTAAGGTGTCTCTATTGATTGGAAGAGGTTCTGCTAAGTAGTAATTCCAATACACATAATTAAAGAGGATAATTTATGAAGACCAATGCATATTTGTGATAAATAACTAACTCAACTAATTTTCTTAATATCCCCAAATTAGTCATCTAACTCTTATATTAAGGATTGTAGGTAGTATATTTGTTAGGATAATTGAAAAATAAAAAAGTAGTTAAACTACCAATGTGCTTCATAAACCTTGCTTTGGCAGTTCATATGCATTTCATCCTATTAGTGGAGTTTTTACTTAAAATGTAAGGTTAATATAATATTTGGCCTTTCAAGTTTGTCCTCATTCTGGTTCTAGTTTTAGTCACTCAAATTTCAAATCATAGGTTTTGGTTCCTTAAAAGGAAAAATGGTCCAAGTTTTTATTAGATTATAGGGACCAATGTTTTAAATTAAAAAAAACTTGAGGGGCCAAAACTTATTGTTTGAAATTTGAGGGACCAAAACTTATGGTTTGAAACTTAAGGGACCAAAACCAAAATGAGGATAAATTTGAAGGATAAAAGTTTGTATAAACCCTAAAATGTATGTTGGCCGTAGATTTCCTATTTTCCTTGGATTAATAATACTTCAATTTTCCATTAAAATAATAATAATTCAACTTGCAGGAATCTAAAAGACCTGTGTCTCCAAGGAACAATAGCCCCTGAAATTGCAAAGCTGACTCACATCAAATTCATGTAAGAATTCTGCTATTACTAAATGATCCAGTTATAGACATACAAATTCTTCAAACTTCTTGCAATCTCTTCTTGTTTGCAGAATTCTGCGCAACAATTCTTTCTTTGGAGAAATACCTAATGAGATTACACAATTAGAGAAACTGGAAGTGCTGGACTTGGGACACAACAACTTCAGTGGTTCATTTCCATTTGAAACCAATCCTTCCTTGACTAGCCTGTAAGTCAACCAAATCCTCAATTTCATGCCAAAACCTTTGTTATTGTCTTCTTTTTTCCGTTCCAATTCAGTAGCTTATATAATAATTACACTTCAATTGCAGTTTCTTGGACCACAATGATTATCTGGCTAACTTTAGTCCAGAAATATCTGAGCTCAAGATGATTTCGGAATCTCATGTAAATGAAGATCCGTCAAAAGCAGCATGTGTAAGCAGATCTAGTCTGAGGTAAGACACTCATCACAACTAAAAGTAAGTGACATCTCTGATGTGTCTTCTTGGCTCTTCTTTATAGAGTAAGATTGTCAGAATTTTAAAGAAATCCCATCCATTCTATCAAGAGCTATTTTGTGATGAACCGTAAGTAAATTATTTTTTTGAGTCCGCCCATGTCAAAATTTGAATTTGATCAGAATTTTCCGGCCCACGTTCTCTGTATTCACAGAAAGAACATAAATCGTACATTTAGAGTGATATAGACAGCAAAAAGTAAGCCCCAATCTAATTATTAGTCAGATACATAAGCATATTTTCTTGTATCACTCTTTCCCTAAATGCACTTTGCACATTCACTTTCGTAAACTGGGAGGACCCGAATTCAAAATCTTTGCTATTGCTTGATCAGGCTGTTTATTATTGCTTGATGTGACGTGTTTTCATCTTAGGTACAAGAGGAAACTTCTTCAAATATCAAGTCCTCCCACTTCATTACCACCAGATTCTCAAGTTTTCTCACCATCTGAACCTCCCTCAAATTCTCCATCTGCATCAGCTCCCATATCATTTCCACCATCATCATCTCCCTCCATTTTTCTTCCTCCCTCCCCCTCACCTGCACCTTCATCTTCATCTTCACCTTCACCTTCACCTTCACCTTCACCTTCGCCTGAAACTTCTTCCCCTATGATAGCACCAACTCCAGAAATATCACCAGCAAATCCACCTTCTGTTGTATCCCTTCCACCAAATTCCCATGGGGTTTCAGCTCCTTCTCCTGCTTCATTTTCAAACCAAGGGAGTTCTAAGCCAAACCATCGCTCTCTGATAATTTGGTCTACAATTGGTGTTTTCTCCTTTTTGGTTTTGGTGTCAGCAATTGCTTTTGCTTGCTTTAGTAATGCCAAGGTTGTAACTGTAAAACCTTGGCCCATAAGTTTGAGTGGGCAGCTGCAGAAAGCTTTTGTTACAGGTAATTAGTTCTTTCTACCACTCAGTCTTTTTGCTTCACGTTGACATTATGAATACAATCAGAAACATACTTCAAACTCCATACCCATTGTTTAATTTTATTATAAATATTTAACATGTCCTCTCAAGAGAAATCTTTTTGAGCTTAAGTATAGATAGCCAGAGCATAAACTGTCCATAACTTGTGTTGAAAACAAGAATGGATACTGACAAGGATTGAATTACAGATATGATTAATATGTTCTTCGTTCATAATCTACATTTCAAGCTGAGAATACTTTTGTATGGGGAGACGAGAATAAACTATTTGTGAGCCTGTGGCTACTTTTTTATTTACAATGAGTTGGCTATGCATGCTTAGTTAGCATATGTGATTTAGGTGTGCCAAGTCTCAGACGAGCAGAGCTTGAAGCAGCATGTGAGGACTTCAGCAACATTATTGGAACTCTTCCTGAGGGTACTATTTATAAGGGAACTCTCTCCAGTGGAGTTGAGATAGCTGTAGTATCCACTGCAATAATCTCACCTCAAAGCTGGTCAAAACATATGGAAGCCCAATTTAGAAGGAAGGTAGCCAAGCAATAAATGTAGTCATATTTATTTCATTTGTCTATTAGGTCTATAACGTTTTTCATTCTCCTGATTTCAGTTAGAAACATTATCCAGAGTGAACCACAAGAACTTTGTCAACCTAATAGGGTTCTGTGAGGAGAAGCAGCCGTTCACAAGAATGATGGTTTTTGAATATGCTCCAAATGGAACTCTGTATGAACATCTACATGGTGAGTGGCTTATTGTTCAAACTTTACTTGCTATCCTCAGCTAGCATGTCCTTTCTGGCAAATAGAGTTATGATTTGACACCACTCTTGTATCTTCCGCAGTTAGAGAAGCAGAGCAACTTGACTGGGGAATGAGAGTGAGGATAGCGATGGGAATAGCTTACTGCCTTGAATATATGCATCAGCTAACACCACCTATTGCTCACACAAACCTACAATCTTCATCTATATGCCTAACTGAAGATTATGCTGCAAAAATATCAGATCTTAGTTTTTGGAATGACATTGTTACTTCCATTAAAAGGGGTTCTTCTGCAGCCACACGGCTCTTGGAAACACCATTAGCATATACAAAGGGAAATGTTTATAGCTTTGGGTTAGTACTGTTTGAACTGATAACAGGTAAGATTGCCTACACTGAGGACAACAGAATTCTTACAGATTGGGCAGCTGAATATCTAAGATGGGGAAAGAAGCCCTTTATTGATGTGTTGGCTCCCACTCTAAGCAGTTTGAAAGAAGAAGAGATTGAAAAGTGGTTCCAAGTGATGAAAGAATGTTTGCATTCAGACCCAGAGAAAAGACCGACTATGAGAGAAGTTACTGCTGCATTGAAGGAGATTACAGCAATGGAGCCGGATGAAGCTACACCAAAATCATCTCCTCTTTGGTGGGCAGAGCTAGAAATTATGTCAGAAAACTTGAGTTGAAAATTAGAACCCCTAAATTGAGCATTTTCTAAAGCCATTTTTTCTCCATTCATCTTAAGTTTGTTTCAGATTCTTCAATGGACGTTAACAAGACTAATGAGGGCCGAAGAGACTGCTTATCCTTGTGTGGAATTGACTTTGTAAATACTTGAGATTTGTTGTGTATTTGTTTATTAACCTGTTCTTTATCACTTTTTTTGGTCAAAGTACCTTCATTTCTCTTTTTTTCACAGCAACGATTGAGAGTATTGAGAAGCTAATAAATAACATTGAGTACAATGGACCAAGAAAAATTACAAATGGATAAATTTTATGAATATTTACCTTAAGCCCATTTGGAGATGCAGTGTTCTTTCTACTGGTGCTTGATGGATATACCCTGACAGAAACATGGGAACACAAATTCTATTCTAGTCTATTCTCTGGAAAAAACGAAAGCATGCAACTACCAAAATGAAGTAAATTTGTGGGGAAATAGATATTTGAATCTGCTTATAAATATGTCACTGTACAAGAGGGTGTAATTGGCGAGCCATGGCTCACAAGAATACATATCAATCTAGTTTCTCGTATGAAAATCTGGTTTTCACGTGAATCATCCTCCTAAGGCATAAGTTCATCACTTTCATCTATCCATTGTCATGTTGTCATCATGCTTTTTTTGGCTTGGCTACCCACAATCAATATTCTCCGCTTCTTTCCTCACCAAGTATAGATTTCAGCTGAATATTATGAGATTTTTGGGGGGGGGGGGGATTCAGCATTCTGAATGTCCCTACAATTTTCTACACAAAACAGCTCAGCATATCAAGATTTCTCATTCTCACCATTTGACTGTTTGTGTTGAGATAATATTAGCTCGATTTTTGTGTCCTCTGATACAGATTAAGTGTGTCAGTGTGTTTTGGATCTAAGCAAAGAGCTGCTTGGCAATCTTGAAGAGCCAATGCTAGATCGCCCATTGACTCATAAAATGCTGCTCTCAGATGAAGCATTTGCAGATCAGGCTTGAAGTTTATGGCCTTGGTGAGTTCCTCCACAGCTTCAGTTTCCTTTTGCTCATCCATCATAACTGGTCATAAAGGACAGTGGATGTCAGTACAATACGTGATGTCAAAGGTCATATGTGTATTTCTGAATTGAACATAAAATAGAGTTTTAAAGTACTGGTTATATGTGAGAATATAAAAGCCTTGCATCAGTTATTCTTTTATTTCCTAATTATCCTTTTGCAGCAATATATGCACATGTATTCTGATCTTGTTTAGGATGGAAGGAGAATAAAATTTCTTACTATTGCATTTGCTAATATGTTTCCTTTTTGCATGGTATATCTATCCAGCCAACTACTTAACGAACTACTTACTGGAAACAAGTTGCCCAAGGATTTAATAAGCTTAAGCTTAATAAAGAAAATGGCGATATGCATTGAATGAAAAAGCTACTGCCAGGCAATTGTTCAAGTGACTTTAGCAAGCGAATAAATTTCAATTGCATTAACTGCTTTACAATGAGATATTCAATCGCAAAACAGAGGAAAAGCGTGCGTATAGCTTTAAATTTCAATAGCACTTGCGAAACTCCTTACTTAGTGTGCAAAAACTTCATTGTCTTATAAATCTTTTTCAAGGAAGTTGAATCCTCACTATACTGTATGCAAAAGCAAAAAGACAAAAAACCAAAATCAAGCATTATCCATATTTAATGCAAATTTATAATCATGCCACTGAAAGTTTAGCCTTTCATAATAGTTTAAAAAATCTCAATTCATGTTAAAAATGAGGGCAGCAGTACTAAGTGCGACGGTTTAGTGCTTAGCGTAGTCATCAAACAACTGAGGGAACCTTGGAACACACACACACAAAAGTACTTAAAATATAGAGTTCATCTGATTTGAGATGCCCACTTTCCTCACCCACAGGAAAGCTGATAAATGAGCAAAATTTGCATAGTCCAAGAGCATCATGGCATTATCTGATATAATTATCCCCACTTTGACTCCAATTCAAAGTAAATAGCAGATAACATGGACTGAAGGCAAAAAGTACCTGCAGCTCTGTATCTGTATGGATATGTCCTTAAAGGATCTAGTTGTGTCGCTACGTCAAGATCAGACTTTGCCATCTCACGATCCGAGTATTCTGATCGTTTCTCATATGCCGAGGCATTGTTCATTGCCTTTCAATTAGCTTAGTCATTTCATCATACGCAGATTTACGCTGATTTTTCTGATGATAAACGCGTGCCAGACCTTGATGAGCTCTTGTGTGTCTGATTGCAAGGGCATTTGAGTAGCATTCTTTCGCGAGATCTAGCTTCCCACAATCAACATAAATACTGCCCAGATTATTCAACGCCTGCAAAACATTGCAGCACGCAATCAGATAATATTAGAATACATATTTGATGAGCAATAAGAGTAGCAGAAGCAAGCCAGAGATCACTTACTTGTCCTTTACGAAGTCCATCAGAAGGACATTTAAGAGCTTCTTCTAGAAGTTGGATAACATTTGAAGAAGACACAGGGTCAGGATTAGCATCTGCCAACACATATGCTTTAAGAAAAAATGCTTCAAATGATCTTTGAATTGAAATGGACCTCTCAGCCCGAGCCAGTGCTTCCTCTCGATAGCCAGTATCATAGAGAATCCATCCTTCATATATTAGTCTTTCTTGTATGGAACTAGAATGGTTTCTAGCCAACCGAAGACTACGCATTGCAGCCTTTTGACAGTTTAACCTTAAAAAATTCAAAGAGAAAAGTAACTCATCTGAATGTAGACAATAATTCCATTGTACAGAGATATCAACAAGCCCTTAGATGAACAAAGCATCTAGGTACAAGTAACAAGGATATCAGCAGTACTAAATGTGATAAACCAGTCATTCGCTCAAGGATGTTTTTGAATTGGCAAAAATGAAAGTAAAAAGAAGGGAAAGAAGATTTCATTTTGCTTTAAATGAAACATTTCATTTGTTTCAGTTTTCCTCAATTTAAGCATGCTCAGAAGGTCCAAGACAGGAAATAACTCAAGTAAACATGAATTTAAAGTCGAAGAAAGATAACAACAGCCTCACCTTAAAAGAAGTAGAGATTGACGAAACTCTAGAAGGCTCTTTCCAGGTTCATTTTCCAGCATCTGATGTATAATAGCCAGAGAACCAATATCATCAACAGAGGACCATTGTTCGTATAGTTGCATCCAGCAGTCAGCTAGACTCTTAGGCTGAACCCTACGGATAAGAAGCATAAGCAAGTATTTCCCTTTGATCTTCCCATGTGATGTTATGACACTGGGTTCTAATGTTAACAATGCTCGAATATCTCTCAAGGCACTTTTATAATCCTCAATTGAAATAAACAACAACACCTTAATTCAAGGCAATCAGGAGAGAGCTTAAATCCAATAATTCTGTCCAGTTCCAAAATTCCTGCCTTTATCTGCTTCTCCTCTGCCTTTGCCAGAGCTCTGTATTTATAAGGAAACGAAAGTGAAGGATCCAATTCAGTTGCAAAATCCAAATCAAAACTCTTTTCCTTTCCAAATATACAAAGCCCTTTCCTGATACATCCACCCAGCTGGTTTATACTCAAATATGATAGAACTTATCAACTTGTATGCTGAATATGGTTGACCTTGCTTGTGCTTTGTTCTAGCCACACCGGCCATAGAATAAA